CTACAATCACCTTATTCTAAAAGCCACGGTCATGGACGGCGAACGGATGAGGGAACTACTACTAAGCTACTAGACGCCTAGACCCCCTTGTGCCTTCCGATCGAACCCCTTGTTCCACACTGCAATCCTGGTGCAGTGGTGTAGCTTAGAGGTAAACTGTTGCCATGCAGGATGGAACATGCAAGCTGAGTACAGTACGTATGCTACAATTTCCATGGCAACAAATCTACACTACAAGCCAATGATTGGCAGGCCTCTGAATGAACCCGCGAACCATCCTTTTGCAGGCCATTTCCTCGAGCATTATGGCGCGGCTTGACAAGTCACCTACCCACAGGTGTCACAGGGGTTTCATGACGACGGAAAGAGACTGATGATGCCATGGCAGGTGGCAGCCACACGGGTGCACGCTCCGTACACAGATAATTCCTGTGCCCCCGTCTGCCCCCGTCATGGATTCATGATCGCGCGAGCCATTCCCTCCGCACGTGCAGGAAAACGGCAGGGGCGATTGGGTTGGGGGTTGGGGCAATGGCCTCGTTTTCAGAGCTCTCGTGCTAGCCGGCCCTACTGTACATAAACACCGAGACCGAATGGGCCGCAGATTCGACGAACCTAGCTGCAGCAACATCCAAGAACTCGAGCATGATCAATTGCAGCCGTTTCTCGAGATGGGACAGGCAAATTTCTTGGTGCTTCAGCTATACTCGTGGACGGAGTTACAATCTTACAGATTCAGAGATAACAGAGGCAATTGCATGCTTGAGTTGTGATTCAAATTCAGTTATGTATAAGATAAAGGCTAATTTTTATTGGAGCGAAACGAGGCCCATCGCCAGAAGGCTTGGGCCGAAGCGAAGCGGAGGCTGAAATTAGCCCATCATGTTTCGCCGCCGCACCCAGAGACACTGGGGCAGCCCCCACGGTACGGATCGTCATCTATTAGGGTTTTCCATCTATATATACTTCACGTAAGCCGTCGTCTTAGCATAAGAAAAGTTATAAATCCCCGACGTTTGTAACCTCACCCGATATAGTGAAAATTTGCTGGCCGGTGCCCGTGGTTTTTTCACTTCCACCTTGTGAGGGTTTTCCACGTTGAAATCTCATGTCTCCTATGCTTATGCTTGATCTACTGTTCTTTGTCGTTTATATTGCCTATCGTTTATAACAGGACTGTCATTAACAAGTGATCTGGTGTTTCGTCAGATCAGGATTGCAAGTGATTGCGCCAATGTTACAAGCAGTATCCGGGGGCAAGCGATGGAACTCAGTAAACTTCAAAAGAAAAATTCCTACGTATCAAAGAAAAATGTTATAATTTATTAGGTAAATATTTTTGCACAATGAAATCGCCCAGGCTCCGAAAAACTTCGGGCTCCGCCACTGCTCATGACCATATAGTTCAAGAGATCAAAGCACGGTATACCGAGTTCCAGACACTACTAAAAAAACGATTTGTGGCAACGTCTTCTTTTCTTTGTAGGGGTGGGCGGTGTTATCAGCCACCCCTACGAATGATCCGATTTGTAGAGACGGCTCTATATCCAGCTGTCCCTATAAATCAGATTTATAGGGGCGGCTCAATATTAAACAGTCCCTACAAATAGACACCGAGTATTAAAAATTAAGCACTAAAATTTAAATTTTGTAAACGACCTCGGATGGAGAAACAACCAAAATGAAAGTTGTAGATCTCAAAAAGTTATGAAACTTTGTAGTTGACAACGTTTTGATTTGAAATCATCTTTTGAAGAAAAACTACGTTTGAATTTCTAAAAATTTGAAATTTTAATTTTTTAAACGACCTCGGATGGACAAACAGTGAAAATGAAAGTTGTAGTTCTTAAAAAGTTATGAAACTTTGTAGTTGATAACTTTCTCATTTGAAATGATCTTGTCATTGAAAACAACGTTCGAATTTCTCAAATTTGAAATTCAAAGTTTATAAGTGACCTCAGATGGAGAAACTAGCAAAATGAAAGTTGTAGATCTCGAAAAGTTATAAAACTTTATAGTTGACAACTTTTTCATTTGAAATAGGCCCTGTTCGCGTGCCCTTAAACCCGGCTTGATCCACTTATTTTTTCATCCGGAACAGTGTTTTTCTCTCACAAATTCCTCCAACATTCCTCCAAACCATTCAGATTCCTCTAAAATTCAGACAAGCGAACATGCCTTTAGTTTAGGGTCTCAAATAATCAATTTATGCTCAGTTGCAGAAGCTGTTGGTCCTCATCGACGCCGTAAGCTGCAAGGTATTGATTGGTTTTCTGCAGTGATCTAAAATCAAATCTTTTATGGCACAGAATATCTGGTTTCGCTTCTCTTATACGAGAGTCCTGTTGCCTATAAACTCTGGACTCTGGAGCCACGACTCGTGATGATGCACATTTGCGATGAACTAGTAGAGTGACCCACAATAGAACGACTGTAATGTTAAGAATTTAAGTATATACGAACTGTAGAGAGTCATTTTCGCGTTATACCTTTGACTAGCCAGAAATCCGGAATAGATGTGTCTATATTTGAACATTAATTTAATAAAGTTGTTGGAGAGTATTTTTTTCATCAAAATCTCTATTTGTGCGATGGAATATGAAGGATATAAAAAGTCTTTTGGAGTCGCCAGTATCGTGCGATGGAAAATAAAATTATAGGCGCATGAGAGAGCAGTTACCAATTATGTCGGACAACATATCAGATAGAAAGTTGAGATCTCTATGCCCTGTTCGCTTGAACTACTTCAGCAGTATTTTTCAGAGAATGAACAATATTTTTCTCTAACAATAAATCAGCATAAGACAAATTTAAGGGAAACGAACGTGCCTGTACGGCCTAAACATTATCCACGGGAGGCCATTTCTGATCGAGTTTTTTACTCGCTTGCGGTTAACCCCTCCATGTTCTGCGTCCGCGTGCCTTTTGTGCTCAGGTTCTCATTTCCACGTCTCCCTGAAACCCCATTGAAGTGCTGTCTTAAATTTGTGGTTCTTTTTCGGCTTAACCATTGTACTCCCAGTCCCAGGCCTATATTTATGGTTTGGGCTTTTGTTTCGAACAGGACCCATGCGATGGCACACAGTGCGAATGAAATGAAAATGGACCTGTTAACAGCACAATTGTGCAATGCTAATGGCTGATTAATAAGAAGAGGAAGTAGGTACCAAACCAAACTGAAAGGAAAAGATCCAAAGGCGGAGCCGATGCATTTCTATTGCGCTGTCGATCACTCTTTAGCAGTTTAGTCTTTACCTAAAAGCAGTTGCTAGTAACTTGCTACCAATCGCTGATGCCTGACGAAGCATTTCACTGGCGTTGAGCATGCCAAATGGCGAATGGGGGGCAACGAAACAGTGCCCAATGCGAGCGCCGAGCGGATGGGACGGAGACGTTGCACCACCTCTGTCGCAGTCAAGATGCTATTGGAATACAGTGGCAGAGTGGCTGCGGCATGCAGCCGGCAGGACGCCAGGACGGGGCAAATCGGGCGCGTTTGGTGTCGAAAGAAACGGCACGCTCGCGCTCAAGTGGCCAGCACCCTACCACGACGCAGGTTACTATAGAGGATGGTCCATGAGAAGAAGTCAAGAAGAGATCATTGCTGCTGCCTCACAGATGATCAGATAGAGCGTGCAGGTAGCTGTCGATCTGAGTTACTGCACTCCATCGGGAGCCACAGCAAACGCGAGACGCGAGCTCCAATCATCTGACCATAGCTCTCCCCCAACTCTGAATTTCTGAAACCCCAGCCGGGCAGCCAGCATTCCTCAGTCCATGCAGCCCCATTCTTTAGGCGGCAAGCTCTTGATCTGAAGAAGAAATTATAAAAAGAGCAAGAGGTGTTTGTATGGGCGCCGATGCTCCGTACATCACTGGACAGTGACCGTATCTTATGTTATCCGTCTCTGCTCTGGCAACAACCTTATCCTACTTCCTCCAATGATATGGCCACCGCTTTTGAGCTTTTCATTCCACGGTGCACGCACGAAACCAACCTCTTCTCTGATTCTCTCCGCCAAGATTTTCTGCCCTTTCCGTCTATTCGTTGCTGCCACACCAACTTTCGTTTGAATGGCGAAGCAGTACACCGGCTGCCGTGCTAACGGAGGCTGTATGGTTGCTTTCCCTATGGCCTTTGTCCTTTGAGGTATACTAGCAACGCAACAAAGGCGCGCTTAGTTTGTGGACGTTTCAGCTTGTAACGGGACCGTGGTAAAGTTTCATACCAACATCATCCATGTCTTTTCAACTTTTCATCGCACCATCGATCCAATCCTTCGTGTAAAAAACCGTGCAAGGACCTTAAGGCAGGTCGTTGAAGGCGACAGTGCAAGGGGCCTTGCATTTTCTACCGCAGAATCGGGTCGTCGATCATGGACACTGTGTACAGCACCTACTGTTCAGCGTCCAACAACTGAAGACGAAGGAGTTATGCCTGGGCCTGGGCCGCAGCCAACAAGGAGGTCCACCCGGGCGAGAACGCAGAGCAAGCACGTGTCGGGCAAGGACTAGGTCGCGGCGTGATCAACCGGCTCAACATCGTGGCGTGACCCACGGGCTCCGAGTAGTCTACGTATATGTAATAGGCGTGAGAGAGAGAGAGAGGCATCCATGACAATTATTGTAACAACTCTTGCCTTCTCCTGCAAGAACTCATCTGATCCCAACCTTGTGCTCTGCTTTTCCTGCCTATATTCCGATCCCCAACTCTACCTTCCCCAAACTCTGTATCGTTACCTTGGTTTGTAACAAATTGGTATTCGGAGCTCGCGATTCCTTGGCCGATCTCGCTGTTCCTTCACTTTGATCTGGGATCGTAATCCCCGATGGCTGGTTGATCGTCGCTTGTTGCCTCTGCAGTGAGCGTGTGAACCCGTAGGTCCGCGCCGAGGTTGATCTGATCGGTGAAAGAACGATTGCCGGAGTCCGATTCCACCCTGGAGCCTCACCAAATCGATCACGAACACTTCACCCGCTTCCGCAAGCAGCTAGGCGCCATGGATCCCAACACCAAGCTCATCCTCGACGAGCTCAAGTCCGTTCAGATGAACCTCACCAACCGCATCGTCGCGGAGGAGACCTCCATTGGTGCGTGTGTTGGTTCTCTGGAGGACGCCACCAAGGTGTTCGACGCATGGAAGCCGAAGATGGACGCGACCATGGAGGAGCTGCGCTCTGAGGTGGGCGCGATCCGGAAGACGGACGAGAAGGTCAAAGCGCTGCTCGAGGAGATGACCGCGCTGCGCAAGTCCATGAGCTAATCCGTCCTCGATGCCGCCCCGGCCATGCCGACCGGCGTCCTTCTGCCGCCCAAGGTGTCCGTGGCGTCGGTTCCCGCCGGCTGGACCAAATTCAGCCCGTTAGGGCACCATGAGGAATCAAGCCACTGGGGATTAGAGTTCACAACTCGATCCCCGGTCAAGGGTTCATCCCGCCCAATCCCGACCACAAGCCTAAATTGCATCGATCGTTCTCCAGTTCTGCTACTCTGGCGGGCACTCAGGGTGGTTCGGGTGAGGTGGAAGGTTCCCATGATCACCGCTGCTATGAGGATGAGGGTGGGGGAAATCATCATCTGCCTAAAATCAATTTCCCTCCCTTTGATGGTTCTAATCCTAAGCTGTGGCTCGGGCGATGCTTAGATTACTTTGAGATGTATTTTGTGCCCCACCGTCGTTGGATCAAGGCTTCCACCATGCATCTGTCAGGGGCCGCCGCTTGCTGGCTGCAGTCCGTTGAGGATCAGGTCCACGCGGGTAGTTGGGAGCAATTTTGCCGGCTAGTTATGAACTGCTTTGGCAAGGATCAGCACGAGCTTCTTATTCGCCATTTGTTTCATATCCACCAATCAGGGTCTGTTCAGGAGTATATTGACAAGTTCATAGGCTTGGTAGATCAGCTAGTAGCTTATGGGCGTAACACTGATCCAATTTACTATGGCATGTGTTTTGTTGATGGCTTGCGTGCCGACATTCGTCTTGCTATGCATATCTGACATCCCAACAATCTGATATCTTTGCCTATGTACTTGCTCACATTGCGGGAGGAATTGGTGGATCCGACTCGTAAGAAGGAACTTCTGACGACCTAAGCCATTCACCTTCGCCAGGCTCCGGTGCGTGGACCGATGCCGCTACCACACCCTCAACCACGGCGGGAGCGGCGGACAGCCCTATGAACCCGAACTCGGGGCTGAGCAGGCGTGGGCGCAGCGTGGACGACAAGCTCTCCACCTGCGTGAATACCGGCGCGTGCATGGGCTCTGCGTCCGGTGTGGTGAAAATGGTCACGTGACCATCGATGTCCTGGCTATCTGGTGCACGCTTTGTAGGAACTGTGGGAAGTTTGCTTTCTTTGAAGATTGTCGGGGAGGACTGTGATGATGCTGTCATGAAGAAAGCACCGATGGCGCTCAATTGTGTCTAGCTATTTCTATGGCAGCATCTAGGGGCCATTGTCGATTAACTCTATTCAGTTCATGGGGGTGATTTAGGGACATCCCTTTCCGGATTTTGATTGATTGAGCGGTAGTCACACCTCTATCGGTGAATCACTTTGGTGCTAAGTTGGAGGGTATATCATCTTTCTCTCCACCTCTCAAGGTCACAGATGGCGAGCGGTTCCTAATTACTTTGTTCCACGAGTTCTAGAAGCTCACTTGGTCAATTCAGGGCTGAATTTGTTTGATGGCTAAGGTGCTACATTTGTCATCATATGAATTGATTGTGGGCATGGATTGGCTTGCTTCTTATAGTCCTATGCGATAGATTGGCAACATAAGTGGCAACTCATATCACAGGGTTAGGGTCAGCATTTGTTACAAGGATCGTTGACAGCCCTGCCGGCAGGCTCTGTTGTGCAAGTATCAGCCATTTTGCCGGATGACACTGTAGACCGTCAAGGTCCATTGCCGCCTGAGGTTTCTACTCTGTTAATAGAATTTCAATCGGTGTTTGCTCTACCCACTGGGTATCCCCGACCGGATTGTGATCATGCAATTCCTTTCTTTGGAGTCTGGTCCATACTCAGTTCGGCCTTATCATTATCCTCCAGCAATCAAAGACGAGATAGAGCAGCAAATTGCAGAAATGTTGCAATCAAATATCATCCAACACAGTTCAAGTCCTTTTTCTTCGTCAGTTTTGCTTGTTAAGAAGAAGGATGACACCTTTTGTTTCTATGTGGACTTTCGGCACCTTAATGCTATTACTGCCAAGGTCAAATACCCGGTTCCTGTTATTGAAGAACCGTTAGATGAACTAACTAATGCCTCCTGGTTCTCATGTCTTGATCTTACTGTCGGTTATCACCAAATTCGTCTGCAATCAGGCGAGGAGTTCAAGACCGCCTTTCAAACCCATTCAGGCCAGTATGAATTCAGAGTAATGGCGTTTGGGCTTACTGGTGCACCAACAACATTTCTCAGAGCCATGAATACGACCCTTCGGCCCCTACTGCACAAGTGTGTCTTGGTCTTTTTCGACGACATACTCATTTTTAGTCGAACATATGAAGAGCATTTGGAGCATATTCGCCTTGTGCTACAGCTATTGCAAAAGGATAATTGGCAAGTTAAAATGTCTAAATGTGTCTTTGCGCAGTGACAGCTTCGTTATCTCGGGCATGTGATCTCTGAAGCAGGCGTTTGAAAGGTCCTAATATGGCTAGAGGGGGGGTGAATAGTCTATTTAAAAATCTATAAATCAACTAGAGCAATTTGATTAGTATGACAAATAGCGAAATACAAACTTGCTCTAGCTCTACAAGAGTTGCAAGCCACCTATCCAATAATTCTAGTTGCAATGATTACTAGGCACACAACTTGCAATGTTACTACTCACTAAGAGCTCTCAATCTTGCTACTCTAAAGAGCTCCACTAGATGAACTTAAAATAACAAAGCAAGCTCTCAATTCTAATTACACTAAAGAGCTTGCCACAACTAGTTTGCAAGAATATAAATGAGTGAGTAGGGTGATTATACCGCCGTGTAGAGGAGTGAACCAATCACAAGGTGAATATTAAATCAATCACCAGGAGAATAACAAATGGCAAGAGACAACCAATTTTCTCCCAAGGTTCACGTGCTTGCCAACACGCTACGTCCCCATTGTGTCGACCAACACTTGGTGGTTCGGCGGCTAAGAGGTGTTGCATAAACCTCGTCCACATAATTTGGACACCGCAAGAACCTACCCACAAGTGAGGTAACTCAATGACATGAGCAATCCACTAGAGTTACCTTTCTACGCTCCGCCGGAAAGGTACAAATCCCCTCACAATCACCGGAGATGGCCACGAACAATCACCGACTCGTGCCAATCCTCCTCCGCTGCACCAAGCCATCTAGATGGTGGCAACCACCAAGAGCAACAAGTGAATCCCGCAGCAAAACACGAACACCAAGTGCCTCTAGATGCAATCACTCAAACAATGCACTTGGATTCTCTTCCAATCTCACAATGATGATGAAACAATGATGGAGATGAGTGGGAGGGCTTTGGCTAAGCTCACAAGGTTGCTATGTCAATGCAAATGGCTAAGAGGATGAGCTTGAGCCAACCATGGGGCTTAAATAGAAGCCCCCATGAAATAGAGTCGTTGTACCCCTTCACTGGACACAACACGGGGTGACCGGACGCTCCGGTCAGTTCGACCGGACGTAGGACCCCAGCGTCCGGTCGCCCGATGCTTGCCATGTGTCGTCGGCTTCAAACGCCGATCGCCCGATCTCAACGGTCAAGTGATGACCAGACACGTCAGTTAGAAAGTGACCGGACGTAGGACCCCAGCGTCCGGTCGTTTCCAGTAAGGTTCCAAACGCGAAATTTCACGACCGGACACGTTCGGTCATGCTCGACCGGACTCACCCGGCGTCCGGTCACTCAACGTTTCCTCTGTGCGCCTCACGTCAGCGTACATCAGCACTGACCGGACTCAGACCATGAGCGTCTAATTAGTTTACACGCCAGTGTCCGGTCACAAGACCGAGACCGTGTGCTTACTGCTGTCACCGACCGGACTCTGAACCCAGTGTCTGATCACTGCACCACCAGCGTCCGGTCACTCTGTGAACCCCTGTCTTTTCTGTATAGGGCACCGGTGGCACTGTCGGGTTGTTCGCACTCTACGGGCGGACACTCTACCGGTGAAGTTTCTAACTCTTGCTCAAATGTGCCAACCACCAAGTGTATCACCTTGTGCACATGTGTTAGCATATTTTCACAAGCATTTTCAAGGATGTTAGCACTCCACTAGATCCTAAATGCATATGCAATGAGTTAGAGCATCTAGTGGCACTTTGATAACCGTATTTCAATACGAGTTTCACCCCTCTTAATAGTACGGCTATCTAACCTAAATGTGATCACACTCGCTAAGTGTCTTGATCACTGAAACAAAATGGCTCCTACTATTTATAACTTTGCCTTGAGCCTTTTATTTTTCTCTTTCTTCTTTCCAAGTTCAAGCATTTGATCATCACCATCGTCATGATCTTCGCCATTGCTTCATCACTTGGAGTAGTGCTACCTATCTCATAATCACTTTGATAAACTAGGTTAGCACTTAGGGTTTCATCAATTAACCAAAACCAAACTAGAGCTTTCAACGTTGCCACGGATCCGGTGAAAATACAGGCTATTATACAGTGGCCGTCTCTACAATCAGCTACCGAGCTTCAGAGCTTTCTTGGGTTGGTTGGGTATTACAGGTGTTTTGTCAAGAACTTTGGCATCATATCTAGGCCATTGACTGAGTTGCTTCGCAAGGGGGCTATATATGTCTGGACAGATGTTCAGGAGCAGGCGTTTTAGGCTTTGAAGCAGGCACTCACTACGGCCGTAGTTCTCGCTCTTCTTGATTTCAGCAAACCGTTTTCGGTGGAGACAGATGCTAGTGGTACAGGCATTGGAGCTGTGTTGATGCAAGACGGCCATCCTTTGGCATTTCTCAGCAAGGCTCTAGGTATGCGCTCAATGGGGTTATCTACTTATGAAAAAGAATATATGGCAATTCTGTTGGCTCTCGAACAGTGGTGTAGCTATCTGCAACATGTTGAATTCCAAATCATCACGGATCACCGTAGTTTGGTGCAACTCACCGAGCAACGACTTCACACCTCGTGGCAGCAGAAGGTGTTTGCCAAACTGGTTGGCCTCCAGTACAAAATAGTATATCGTAAGGGATCAGATAATGGTGCCACCGATGCTTTGTCTCGCTGCCTGAATGTTCAAGTCACAGCTTGTGTCTGTCAGTCAGCC